TGGAAAAAAAAAATCACATTTTATAGTAATAGAAACTGTTTCTTCAAAATGTCTGGTTAGGGGTTTTTTTTTAGTCTAAATTGCATAAGCATCCAGGCCAGAAAAACACCAAATGTCTTTAAATGATGCTTTACTGAGTGTAGAAGAACCTAATCTTATGCTTTACTGAACTGAGGCTTATGAAAGGTCACTCTCTTCATGGATCATGGATATCTTTAAATGAAAGAGATGGAACAATAAATAAATAGCTTATTCTATATCTTTATTTTTAAAGTCTTCTAGTCAGCTGTTGTTATTTTTAGAACACGATAGTTATGATGTACTTTCTTTGCCATTTAAAATAAAATAGAAAACCAAGATCCTGCTTTAAAGGCTTTCTCTGCTTGTGGACTCAGCTAAATATTTTGCTTACTGATGAATTTTGTTCCAATAATACAGTTGACTCATTGGAGTCAGTTATTTGTTGCTTTTCTTTGCATCTGCTTAGGTAAAATACCGAGAAGAATATGACAAGTTTAAAGCACTGTACACGCTACCCAGAGGTGTTGAGGATGATCCCAATACAGCAAGGTGCCTTAGAGTTGGAAAGTTTAATATTGATGTAAGTGTTGTTTTCTGATGTGTGTTTTCCTGATAAACCCATACTTATCTCAGAAGAGGCTACTCAAAGAATCCACGTGCCTTCATTCAGATATCACATTTCCACATGCATTTGGCAATGTTCAGTATTTGCTGAACATATATATTTCTATAATACACCTACGAATGTCTTTTCAAGCTTGTGACTCAACTGTTAAATTGCCTGCATGGCTAAACCTTTAGTGTAATATGTTTATGTATAAAATGGAGCATTACGTAGACTACCTCCTTTTAACACCTGAGTGCAATGGAAATCTGACACATCATATTTTATCACCCTTGTTAAGGTTCTGCAGATTATTTTTAGAGCAGGCAAGATGTAAATTTTAGTCATAGCCAAAGTGATTGCTCTCCCACTAACATTCCATGATAAATCAATGGTTGTCCTGGTTTCGGCTGGGATAGAGTTAATTTTCTCCCTAGTAGCTAGTAAACCATGACAATGCTTCAGACTATTTGTCAACATTATTAATGTACTGCTTTAACTCTGCAGCGTCTGTACAAGGAAGTCTATGAAAAGAATAAAGCCAAAGTCCACATTATTCCAGACATGGTGGACATAATTTCTGCTAAGGATGCACAGAAGAAAGTCAGTGAAATCGATTACCGCACACATCTCCATGAATGGATCTGTCTACCAGATCTTCAAATCAATGCCCATGTTCGAAAAGTAACTGATCAACTCAGTGATGTAAGTTCACAAATCATGTGTTCATGGCTCACTTTTTAAAAAGATTCTTGCATTTATGCTCTGTTAGAGGAAATGATTTAGCAAAAACTTAGTTGGAGCACTCTGAAGTTGCTACTTGAATCCGTTGTATTATGCACTGCTGAACAGCATCTGTATCATGTTTTCGTAACACTTGGGCAATAAGTGCGTAGTTGAGATGTGGCTTAGTATGCATAATTTAAGTGTTATCGGTGTAGGCATTGGGTCATAACATTACAGTTCTACCAGTTCAGCCATCCCTGTCTGTAAATTGTCCTTTATTATTTGGTTGCATAAGGTGTGGAAACTTTGGAAGTTTGAGAAAATCCCGGTGGTGCAAAGCTTCTATGCACTTGCCTTGCACAGGTCAGCCCAGGAGTAGGCCAGCAATCTATCAGTAAATCATTGCCCGGTAGGATATGCAAGTAGGTTTTTTAAAAATCATTGGGGTTTTTTATTTATTGGCCAAACTGAAGCAAAGAAGAAAAATTATTTAAATTCCGAAAGGAATTGTTTTGATTTTCTCAAACCACAAAAATAGTCAAAATACCAGAAACCTTACTTGCCATCATTTGACAGTTGTGTTTCAGACTGATTTAGCGATAAGGGATTAGATCCTAGTGGAAGTCTTACAGATTGCTTCTTTGCTCTGATACCTTAGGTGGTATACAAGGATGATCTTAACTGGCTGAAGGGCATTGGCTGCTTTGTTTGGGACACTCCTGAAATTCTCCATGCCAAACATGCCTACGATCTTCGCAGTGATGTGAGTAGATACACTGGTTTTCCTTCTTAGTTTTTTTCACTCCATTGTATTAAAAGGATGGAGTAGCTTTATTCTACTCCAGACATAATCTGGAAAATGTTATATATCCTTCTCTACTGAAGTATTCATTAAATAACCATATATGGTTATTTAAACTTTGCTGCTCTAGAAGTAGATATTGTCAGATTACATCCCATTCAGGAAAGCATTGGGCATTCTGTTTTAAATACTTGTCTTCTCAGAAAAGCACTTAAAACAGTAATTCTTCATTCAGAACCCTTGAAGTAAAGCAGAAATGATGCAGAATTCATATTAAAAAAGAAGTATTTTCATCTTGATTTTGATTTCTTTTTCTCCTCTCAAGATCTTATGACACATCCTTAGTTTGGGATTAAGCCATTAAAATGGGAGAATAACCATTCTGGTTTTCAAGAATGTCTGTCCTTTCATAAGTTCTGTATCAGAAGTATGTTGGATATTTATCATATGGTACATATGCCTATTCTATGAATGAGTATTGACATTTCCTAATATTCTTGATAAAACTGAACAGCTGTTCTTATTTAGTAAGGTGCCATGTTCATTTATTCAGCCATAATTTCAATACACTTTCTGTTTAAATGCTGGTTCACTAATAGAATAATTCAGTAATAAAATAAATAGTAAATATAATAATATAATAAATTCAATTAACAATAAATAGCCTTACTAATTAGAGCTCTTGAATTTCTCTCTGCAGATTAAGTACAAATCTAAGGCAGAAAAGATGAAGAATGACTACACTGTGGTCATGGACACTCCTGTCTATGTCCAGAATGTCCTCAGTGGCTTGAATTTAAGTGAAGTAAGTGTTTGTATCACCTTTCACCCCCAATATTGCATATGCCATTACCTCACAAGTTCTAGAAATGTGACTTTTAATTTTTTTTTTAATCATTTCATCTTAATCATTTAATCATTGCCAGTTATCTACAACTCATTGCCTATGCCTTTATTAAGATATGAGAACACAATCACTAAAATCATTAATTGCCTGAATCCAAAAAACTTTCATCCAGTTTTTTAGGAGAAATTCCTGTATGTATGCAAACAATACATACTGTGAGAGAACATCACAATTATGACTCTCCTCTAATTACTTTTTCTTTTTCTCAGGCTGTCTATCGTGGTGCATATATGCACAATGTTAAAGGCAAAATTATTCCTACTGATAAAACAGTAGATTTGGAGCGGGCATATCATGCGAACAAAATACAGAGTGAAGTAAGTATAAAACTTTTGGGTCCACAGAGTTTCTGATATTCAAAAAGCAAATTCTTTAAAAGTTAATGTCTGTCTTTTTAACTTTTCAGATAAAGAAACTAGATTTCACTGCTCTAAAATGGAAGTGGGAAAATGTCCCCATTTAAGCTACAAGTATGCATTATAATGCAGGCACGGGGGAAATCTTTTGCCAATTGCGATTAAGAGATTTCCTATGCAGCTAATGAATACTCTCAAATATTACACACAGTTATCACAAACTCTCTCTTTCTCTCTTCTCTTGCAGAATTTGTATCGCTGGGCTGGTGTGAATGCTCTACCTACTGGATACAGCCTTCCCACAGATACCCCCAGCTTTCAGCATGCTAAACACGTCCAATACATTGGCAGTGATGTGAGTAATGTACTAAGTCCTTCTACAACATGAGCTGCAAGGGAATATTTGGTGCCCATCCTGTATGAACACACAACTGTTTGAGACAGTTATTTCTCAGATATGAGATTGCTTGTCAGAGAGCAACAAGAGTGGGGCAGTTCCATGTGGATGCCTGAGCCAGGAACTGAGAGTGACCACGACATAGGCAGTGACCTCATCATCCAGGGTGAAGTCCCACTGTACGTGAATGGGGTGGGCAGGGCAGGGTGCTGATAACAGGTTGCATCAACAGTCCTAGACAAGGTGAGGAACTAGGGCCAAGGTCCATCCAGGGGGATCCCGTCAGGAGCTGCGGGAAACAGAGCAGAGATTGGAGACAAGCTACCTATAACATAGGTCCAAGGTAAATCCAGGAGACAGGGCTAGAGACAAGTTACCGATAACATAGGACCAATGTCCATCAGGAAATGAGGAAGGAGACAGGGCTGAAGACAGATGCGCTTACAACATAGCTCAGGCAAGGCCTGACATCCCAGGTGTGGCTAGTCAGGGCAATTAAATCGTAGTGCACTCAAGCCCCAACATTGATAATGTTTGCCTTAACAGAATGTAAATGTTACCAAACCCCATAATTATCTGAAGCAATTACTGTCAGAATATAAATTTCCTCAGGTAGATGCGAATACTTTATTAGATGCAAGAGAAATGTAAAATGTTATTAATCTTGGGCCACATGATAAAGGTAAAAATAATGATGATGTGTAGTGTATTTTACTCTGATATAGCTACATCTCACTTGTTTATCTCTAAAAATCTGGCTCTTTATACTGCATAAATTACTGTCAGAACTGCAGTGTAAGTAGAATCACAATCAAATTTAGTTTCTGTATGTTTTTGTTCCTTTTTCCACTTTATAGCTGAAATATAAAGAAGCCTATGAACACATGAAAGCTAAAGGCTATACTCTGGGACCTAAAGATGTTGGGTTTGAAAATGTGAAGAAAGTGAATCAAGTCATTAATGAGGTACAGTAAATATATGTATTTGCTTTCAACTATATTTGTAGTGCCCAAACTATGAATGATGAGAGGACATTGGCTGGGAGGGTTGCAGGATCCCTGTTCTTTGAGGCTTTTAAGAGCAGTTTAGACAAATATCCATGAAGAATGGCAAGGGATCATTGATCCAGGCTTGGAGTTGGGCTCTGTGGCTTTTTAAGGTTCTTGATAACTCTAACGTTCTGTAATCCTGTAAAACTGTTACCATAATATAAAATCAATTGCAGCCTAATTTTATTAACTGATCTGCTGCTACTTGGTTAAAGTTGCATAGAAATTATTGTATCTGTATGACATTGGGTCTCGATAGTTTTAGGTTTGATATATATGTACTCACTTGTTTGATCATTGGCTTTAATAGGGTGAAAATTAAACATACATATTTACATGTTTGTAGGATTATAGTCTCAGCTTCTCCATGTAGTAGAGATGCTGCTATCAAAAACAATTGTGGAAAATCTTTGCCTGGTTAGAAAATAGTATGTTTGCTCCCTTTTCTCTGGTAGTTATACAATACCTAGCAAAAGCCCTGCCCTTAAAAGAGAAGTACTTACACTCTGCCAAACTGCTTGCCATTTTAAGTTTTTAACCTGTAGAATGCTGTCTCCTTTGATACAGAGGTTGTATCGGGCAACATACCACAAGTACAAGGACAAGATTCATACCACTCCAGACACACCAGAAATCCGTCAAGTCAGAGCAACACAGGAAGCTGTCAGTGATGTATGTGTCTTTCTAACATAAAAACCAGAAGAGATTTAGAATATTCAGCATGACCAGACATGTGAAATGCTATTTTTTCTTTGTCTTTCAGCTGATCTACAAGTCAGATTGGTTTAAGATGCAGGGACATTTGATTTCCTTGCCATACACTCCTCAGGTGTTGCACTGCCGCTATGTTGGGGATATCACAAGTGATGTAAGCAACTTCTATTAAGATACCTGGTATTTGAATACAACAGGCCTAATTGGGTGAGGAATTGGTTAGATGGTCGCATCCAGAGGGTGGTGGTCAACAGCTCAATGTCCAGATGGAGGTTGGTGACGAGTGGTGTCCCACAGGGTCCGTATTTGGGACCGGTACTGTTTAATATCTTCATCATTGACATAGACAGTGGGATCGAGGGCACCCTCAGCAAGTTTGCAGATGACACCAAGCTGAGTGGTGCGGTCGACGCAATAGAGGGACGGGATGCCATCCAGAGGGACCTGGACAAGCTCGAGAAGTGGGCCTGTGTGAACCTCATGAGGTTT